TGAAATAATTATCCAGGGACAACATTAACAATAAGTTTCTACATGTAGCAATTAACAACACAAGCAATTGAACACTTGAACTTGAAACAAAACTGGTAAAACAAATGCATCGAAGTGCAGTCTAGTGAAACCAGGTGTTCGTCCCTTTTTGGGCATGTGGAGTTATTGGCATCATCTTAAAGCTTGTGCATTTGTCTATCTTTCGATGAAAAATTACCCATCTATTTTGAACAAAAGTCTTCTAGATATTTCATAATAATAGATAATAGATAGCATTTGTATAGCGCATATCCCCGCTCAACAGCAGGCTCTAGAAGATTAGAGACGTTTACAAGAATAAGTAAATTTAAGTAACGATATTGTTTACGTGGTTTTGCCATGTAAATTTGTTGTCGATTGTAAGACCAAGATATTTGTATGGATCAGTGATTTCAATTGTTTCTTGTTCAATTACGAATGGTGGGATTGTTGGTTTTTCTCTTCTAAAATAAAAAATCATTTCCTTTGTTTTTGAGAGGTTCACTTTTAGAAAATCTGAATGGCACCATTTAAAAAACCTACATATTTCTTCGAAATACTCTTTTTCATCAAGGTTTATTAATCCAATAATAGCAGAGTCATCTGTAAACTTAATTAAGCGTGTTGTTTTACATAATTATAATATACTTCTATGATCGTTGGTATATTTATACCCAGCGCACACTTGCGACCGGATAAATTGGTTCGAGTCGAGGCCAGCCCGATTTTCCTTCATGGTCGTGCCAAAAGCTATCATTAAGACATAATACGACCGATTTGACGAGCCACTTTGATTTTGGTCAAGGTCGAATTTATTTGAGTTCGGACGTAATGTGCAATGATCTGATGGTCGCTTTTGGTAGAGTGTACTGGGAACACAGAATTCTACACTCACTGAGTGTAGAATTCTGTGACTGGGAATACAGAACAGCAAATCCATCAACAGGCAGACACGACACGAACGTGGTGGTGGTTTGGGGGGGGGGGGGGGGGCTGCACAGAAGGCATTGAACATTCTACGGAGAAAAGATTGCATCAACGTGTGAGATGGAGCGTGTGAGTGACACCACAATTTTTTTTAAGGAGGAGGGGGGGGGGGAGAGTTCTGTGCAATAGTTGGTGTTTGCTTGTTTGTTTGAGTGAAGAGAAGCACATCGACACAATAATGATCATTTAGTGCTGGGAAAAAGTAAGACAGACAGAAACTTCAGAAGGGAAAGTTAAGAAGTAGGACCACAATGCAATAGTTGGAGCATGGAACATGCGCTATATAATTGCAAGTATTATTATTACTGTTATTGCATGTGCATGTATTATTATACATGTAGTTTAATAGAATAAATAGCGATAGAACCAATGGATAAAATAGTTACTTTAACGACCATTTACCAAATAACTTAAGCCCCCCCCCCAAACCCCCCCCCCCAAAAAAACCCCTCCAAAACAAACAAACAAACAAACAAATGCCATATCGTCAACAGCGATTTTTAAAAAAAATGCATATAGAACATCAGGATAAGCGAACAAGAACACCTACATTGTTCCCAGTACTCAGTGCGACGTTTAATATAAGACCAAAAGCAACAACAGATAATGTAAGAATTCAGCTCACAACCCCAGTCACCTTAGGCATCATGTTAGCCCCCCCCCCCCCCCCCCCCGCCCTTAACACATCTTTCCACATTTTTTGTAAAATTCATGCCAAGCGGATGTTCTTTCTTTTTTTCTTTTTGAGGGGTGATACATACATATATATACACACACACAAACAAACATATACACAATATATAAACAAACATTATATAAATTTTTTATAAAAGTATATTATGTATTTTATATAATATATCTATATTACACATAAATATATTATATAATATATATTACACACTATGTATATAAACAAATATATATATATATATATACCCTACACTAGCGTGATTAAATCTTACAGTAAAGCCCACAGTAGCCATGCATGCAAGCACGAAATGACAAAAAAAAAGGATAGAATGTAGTCACACACTGTTCACCAGTTCTTGACCCTAAAAGCAAACACCCACTGTTTTCTTTCTTCAGTGCGTGCTGTCCGACCCAACGCAAACATTCATTATTCCTTCTTGCCTGGCTGTGCACCCTGCGACAGTACAGTACAGTGTTCAACCTCCTCTTACTCCTAGGCCTACCCAAGTATCTTTGCTCATACTACCCCGTCCCTCGCAGCGCAACGACGTGGCATTTGGGCAATTCCATGTGACCTGTGTCACAATACTGAATTACACGTACATGTACTTTTACTTTTAAATACATGACCAAAGTGTCTTGGATACCTATCGGGTTTTCTTTTTTCTTCTCTTTCATTTTTTTTCGGGGTTTTTTTGTTGCTGTTTGTTTGTTGTTGTTTTTTTTGTTTTTTTGGGGGGGTTGGGGGGGGGTCTTTTTCGTATTAGTAAAGAGTTTACGGAATTTGAAACACAATTAGGTCATATAACTATAAGTGCCGAAGATTAGAGACGTTTACAAGAATAAGTAAATTTAAGGAAAAGAGACCACACCAGAGTGCCTCCGCCAACCACCAACCAATCTATCGCTTAACCTAAAGCATGTTACAAGTTAAAATCTTCAAGGAGGTTGCCTCTAACAAACTAGGGGGGGAAATGGGCTTCAGCAAAGTCAAATGTGTCACGACGCTGTAGAATCAGGCGCTAGTCATTTTTGGGCATGGAGTTATTGGCATCATCTTAAAGCTTGTGCATTTGTCTTGATCTAGAAGAAAAAAAACACCTGTGCATCTTGAATGAAAATCTAGATATTTGCGATTGAAGGAGTTTGAGGTCGCCTTGTTTCAGAGGTAAAATTAACGAGAAAACAGCAGCCCAAATTTGGAGATTTGGTAAGCTTGAGAGACCCTGGAAACTTACGATTTACCTTTTGTTGTGCAGTGAATCAATACTTTTCAGTAAAATCCACAGAGAAATGAGTTTTGAAATGAACATAAAAGGTGTTAGGCAAAAACCAGGAATTTGATTAAAAATGATCAAACGAGCGGGAAAATGTCGGTTTCTTCGATTTCACTATATCAACGAGCGTCTGATTTCACAACGATGTCTAGCAAATGTTTAAAACTTTTTTTTTTTTCACAGCAGGTAACCAGCTCCGCGTTACGTGTGTAACTGTAGCGTTCACTTTCCGTGGAATGGCCTATTTTCTCAGTGCACAAGCTACACACTACAGGTCGGTCTACAAACCAAATTGAAACTCCGTTTCCTCTGCCACGACACTTAACGTATAATCAGCAAGCATAGCATTTGCACAAGGTCGTATGCTCTGTTAAAGGGAAAGCTAGCAGAAACGACGGCACTTCTACACACACACACGCACACACACACACACACACACACACACACACACACACACACACACACACACACACACACACACACACGCACATACACACACACACACACACACACACACACACACACACACACGTACAGACACATAAAAAGCGACCGAAAAGAAAAGATTAAGGACAAGAACGAGATTTAGCCTTAGTACGAGATTTACGGCACTTGCAACACAAATAGGTCATATGAACGCGGAAGATTAGAGATGTTACATGAGAGTAACATAAACGAAGGAGGAGAGATAAAAAAAGACCAATGTTCGATAGGAAATAAGGAGCAGCCCACACCAGAGCACCCGCCAACCATCCACACACAAGAACGAGAGAGGTTAAAGCAGCCGTATGACAATTGATAATTTCAAACAAAACCTGAGGTCTTTAATTAGAACAGACTATATGTAAGGAAAGTAGTTAAGACCCAAGAACTTTCAAAATGGGTAAAAGGGTAAAGAAAAATGTTCTGTAACACATACATACTAAGTTATATACCCATAAACATTTCCATTCAATCTTAAAAGACATCGGTCTATTCCCTACTTCGTTGCAGCATGTTCTTGTAGAAAATAAGCAAACATTAGCATTTTCATCATTTTTCTAAAAAAGTAGTTTTCAAGCTTCAAGCATGTATTTCCTATCCAATTTTCAGAAAAGAATGAAAATTAATTCCCATGAAAAATTGGACTGAATTCTGAATAGGTGAGAAACTTCTTTCCTTCAAAGGATTACCACCAGCATCTATTAAGTAGACCAGCTACTGCAATGGCGCAAATTCAGCATCTAGGCAGTAGACATGCCGACTTCTAAGACTGAATTATTTTGGCTTGCAGCACATTTCTTAATTTTTACATGGAGGTACCGAGAGTAAAAAAACGTAAAGTACTGCAAGTATGCTCTCAAATTCACAAACTGGAAGTATATCAAAATTGTAGTCAATTCCCAAAATGTAGGGGTATGGATATTTCGAAAAAGAAAGGGGGTAAAATCTTATCAAATGTCAAGGTGAATGAACGTACCAATATGAGTCCGCACAGAAATTACTAAAATAAGATCGATAAAATTTAACAAAGTCACGCACTATACATAAAAGTGTTTATGTCACAAACAGCCACTTGGCCACAGCACAGATCCCTATAAAACTATACAAGTACACAGAAATTTGAGCCGATAGTCTACAAAAATCCTCCTATTACAATATTGTTGGTCATTTCTTTGAGGAAGAAAACAGATCTTTCCTTTGATGGAACGTTATAGTATTAGTATTAGTAGAAATTTTACGGCGCTCGCAACTGCATAAGGTCATATGAGCGCCAAGGGGTGGATGCCAACAGAGAAGTCCTTACAGGGAATCAGACTTACTCTGCTCACCTCTCTAGCTTCAACAGCACAAAGTCTGCTTCGACTATCAAGGCACCCCGGAAATAGTAGGTCACAAGAGTGTGACAAACATACAGAGGAGAAGTAGAGGAAAATGACAATAGTAAGGATTGGGAAAGTAAAAGCAGCAGTTCCCTGTTGTAGATCAGGCACATTTTGGACGGGGCAATTAATAATCCCCCCCATTTAAATTTTTCCTGTGCATGAATGAAAAATCCCCCCCCTTTGGGAATGGCCTAAAGACACTTCAGTCAGTGGCACCGCCTCAGGGGGTGGGAATGTTCTTAAAAATATCACCTTTGAAATAATGATAAGTAAACGCATAAAAATAGGGGGGGGGGGGGGGGGGGGCGCAAAACAAAGCAAAACAAAACTAAAAACAAAAATCAAAGCTTCATTATTTTTTTTAAAATTGAACAATTGAAATTCTGACAGTACAGACAAATCAATTAATTAAATCAGAGTTTCATCATAAAAAGTTTTAATGAGAGAAAAAGTTCCGTTTTCAAAGAAGGGAAACAACAACAACAAGTCATACAATACCTCTGATTCAGTGTCATCATTGTCAATGGTGAAAGCTTTGAAGAAACTGGAACACGGGCCTCCAGCCACATAGCTCACAAGACCCGAGATGCAGAGAACCAGCAGAAGCGCTCCATGTACGGGACATCGCGCCATAGCTGGTACCACGGAACTGTCAAGTGACGCGCTGGTCGCCGGGGGTTCACATACGGAGACAGGATATCCCGATTACTGCATCCACTGTCCGTATTTCATCGATCCCTGGAGGGGTAACAAAATAAATACTATACAGACCAAGGTTACACATTTTTAGTGCGACAGATTGTAGCTTTGATGCATGGTGGAGACAAGATTTTGATTTGACAGCAATTGGCTTATTTAGCTTGTACATGCTTTGAGTAAAAAGGAAATGCACGCGCACACACACACACACACAAGCGCGCACGCAAGCACACACACACACCTAGACGTATACGACACACACACACACACACACACACACACACACACACACACACACACACACACGACGCGCGCGCGCGTCTGTTGTTCCAAACGGCACCGGCGGCTCCAAGCACATCGACTCCTCGAGAGCCGCAAGCCAGTTGACGCGATACGATGACGTCACCAACTGATAACGCGAGGTCATTCTAAGGTAACGTGAGAGAAACGGGTGGAAAGAGAGGCCAGGGACAGTGGGAAAGGAGAGGCGGTGGTCTGGACAAGCGGGCGATGAAATCTACGCGGTCCATAATGCACTTTCGCTAAACGGCTCTAAAAAATTATGTCATTATTTTTACGGGGTTTATCTATTCATTTATGTTATAAATCCTAACTTTTTAATTATCATCATTATTTATTTAGACAGACAGACAGACAGACAGACAGACAGACCGGGGGGGGGGGGGGTGGAGTCAGAGAAAAGAGACCACGACGGGGGACAGGGCTGGCTGGCACTGTGATCAGTTATAGCACTGCCTACAAAATTAGAAAAAGTATTTTATATACGCAAAACACCAATCCAGTTCCCAAATTTCCTCGAGAGTTTCAGAGTGGTATACGAGACACGACTAAAAGATATTTCCTGTCACTGGAGGCAAAAAATCAACATTGAGAGGTACAAAGACAAGAAACAAGCTAGCCCTACCATAATAAAAGGAGAAATCGGATAAATCAAGTCACCAAAACCCCCCTGCTCAACTGCAAATCACTGAAGAAAAAAACAAAAAAAACTGGCGGGTACTTTGACGGTTTCTCCCATATGTCAGTGAGACAGTTAATAAAAGAGCCCAAAGGCAATAGTTTAGCGAGATTGATCACCTCCAGGCGCATGTCTGTCTTAACTATCAATACAATTATACAGCAGGGAACAATGAAATGAAAAAAATGGAAAACAACAAGGGGACTGGATACCCCGCCCAAATCCGTACAAAATCATATTGTGAATACATACTTGATATAAAAAAAAAAATTTTTTTAAACAAACAACAAACAACGACAATAGCAACAACAACCCCCCTCCCCCCATAAAAAACCCAAACAACTCCCCTCCAACAAAAACAAAACAAACAAAAAAACACTGTAAATGCCAGGTACAGCAATCTGTAAGCCTACATAGCAGCAATGGTAATTTTCCTTTCATTGGTTGCAAAAAAATAATAAAAAGGTAGCACATTCTGTTTTCAGGACCTTCAAGAGGTTTTTACCGATATTTGCTTACAGTTTCATCCCTCCCTTCCCTACAAAATACCTTAAGCGAACAAAACTAAACTAAAAAAAACGATACCCACCCCCTCCCCATAAATTAATAAATGAATAAGTATTTTTTTAAACCTCAGTCTCTCTAAAGTTTGAAGTCTCACAAACATATCTACTGTTAAAATACATGTATATACATATTATATAGATAAGAAGGACACACGTCCAACGACGGATTTGTATTTGGGGAGGGATTTTTAAGCCAGCTTTCAGGCAGGCATACAGCTAGCATTAAACTGACATATTTATCACTGTTTACGTTAGAGATAACAACATTTGGAACAGGAGCACGTACTTTGTGAGTGCTGTGCGAGGACCTTGGTGTATCTAAAAAAACAAAACAAACAAACTAAATTATACCGCCATAAGGTCCTAACAGCAGTAGTAAATTAAAGCAAATCAAATCATTCCTTCCACCACACAAAACTCCCTCCCCCCCCCCCTCCAGCCTTCCTCTTTTCCCACCTTTTTCATTAATTTGTTGTTGAATAAATCATCTTAATTAAAATTACTTTGCCCACTGCTGGGTATACTCTTCATCTATTATTTTCCTTCTTTTAATTTAATTGTTCTCTGCTCTAGGTGGCGTGCCATAAATCAATTATTACGACCGTCATGACAACAACGCTCACACCTAAATAATTGAAACGCAAGAAATTCATAACAATCCTGTTCTTTTAGGGCTGAATCAGCTCAAGCCTGAGGAATCAGCACACTGGAAATTAATCAACGAGAAATATCTGATTATTCCATTCTGATTCTGAGTGTGCAGCAATCTGGCCTCGCCGCAGAGCACAAAAAACAATCGTTGATAGTATCCGCTTGGGGATTGAAATCTTGAAACTTTACACCTGGAATGCTGATATCAATAGAGTAGTATGGGGTAAAACAAAACCACGTGGAACCAGAGAACGGCTAAAATTCAGCATAATTAATAATCCAATGTTGTAACAGTAGTAAAGAGTTGAAATAATTATCCAGGGACAACATTAACAATAAGTTTCTACATGTAGCAATTAACAACACAAGCAATTGAACACTTGAACTTGAAACAAAACTGGTAAAACAAATGCATCGAAGTGCAGTCTAGTGAAACCAGGTGTTCGTCCCTTTTTAGGCATGTGGAGTCATTGATATCATCTTACAGCTTGTTCATTTTTCTATCTTTCGATGAAAAATTACCCATCTATTTTGAACAAAAGTCTTCTAGATATTTCATAATAATAGATAATAGATAGCATTTGTATAGCGCATATCCCCGCTCAACAGCAGGCTCTATGCGCATTACACTATATTATTACCCCAGCAGACCATAGAACACTCCGAAACATTCTCAGCTTCCCGGGAAGCATACAGTGCAAGCAGCTGATTAAGCGCTCAAACACTAACAAACTGACAAGATCTTTCGCTGTCTATAGCCGGGTACCCATTCCTACCTGGGTGAAGTGAGGAAAATTCGTGTAAAGTGCCTTTCCCAAGGACACAACAACGTCAGGCCCTTGACGAGATTCGAACCCACGACCTTACGATGGCGAGTCCGAGAGTCTAACCACTAGGCCACCGACAAAGATTCAAGAAGGTGGGGTTGCCTGGTTTCAGAGGTAAAATTAACTAGAAAATAGCCACCAAAGCTTTGGATTTCTTTAGCTTGAAAGTCCTTAGGATTTGAAAATGTACCTTTTTATGCCTTTAATCAACGTTACTTTTTTAAAAATCCCCCCCCCCCAAAAAATGCAAATGGACGTAAAATGTTTTGAGCCAAAAACAAAAATTTGATAAAAATTACCAAACCGGTGGAAAAATGCTAGTATCTTTGATTTCATTCATTATAATTTTGACGAGCGCTTAATTTCACCACCATGCCTCACAAAAGTTTTCCCACGTGGATGTAGCCACCCATTGGTAATATCTCTTGAAGATGGACTATTAATGATTAAGCACTCAACAGAATGCATCCTTTCAAATCAGACAAGATGCAGAGAGGAAAGCAACACATAAAAGCATAAAAATTAGGAAACTGTACATCAAATGACTAGATAAAAAGGGGCATGCATTTGGATAAATGTATGCTTTAGTCATGGCCTCTATTAATGTTTATCTAATAAGGGCTACACCTATTTTGATATGTCAGATAATAATGTGTAGAAGTAGTCAAGTACCTTTTAATGCGATTCCCGAAAAAGAAAAAGGCTAAAATGACAAAACTTTTTAATTTAAAAAAAAAAAAAAAAAAGCTAATATAAGGAGAATTTTTAGTCTTATTTATTTTTTAGTATCTGATGAGGACAAAAGGATTCGATAAAGATTGAAAATATGCATAATAAAATAAACACTATAAACCACCCCAAAATGGACTGAAACACAAGGATCCCTTAAAACTAATTTTAAAAGAATAAAAACTAAGGTGATTGAGATGCTTCCGTTTTGTTGAGAAAGAACTCTTGAGATGCTCACTATAAGGAAAATTCAAAAGGGGCTATACAGCGGGGCGATGAAAGTTTTATTTCCTCCCTAGTGATGATGATAATAATATTATGGTTCTGGAGCAAACAGTGAGAAACTTTCAGTCAAAGGAGAATTTTACACTTCTGGCGGACAACACTGTTTTCAATAGTATTTGGAAAAAATTACAGAGCATAAGAACCTAAATTGCCCCATGCTTTGAATCAGGTTTTGCAGGGAAAAAAATCACTAAATAGCACCCCTTCTCCTATCCATCGACAACTAAAATTTATTGTATTATACCCTTTGGAGTGCCATGATAAAAAAAAATGCACTCAAACATATTTAAGTACCTTGGTTAAATTAAAAGAGAAATGGTATTTGGACATATTTTGCAGATGTCATTTCAGGGAGGGTACAAATTAAATTCAAACAATCAAATCCTGGAATACCGACCCCACTACCAACTTCCAACCTGGCATGCAGACTTATATGTCTCAGAAACCACTGGATCAAACCATTCACATTTTGGTTTTAGGAGTCCTTTATATTACTGGTCACTTGAGCACTAATTAAACAACTAGAGCGAAAGAAACTCTCTCTCACTCAGCCCTTCATTTGCTCCCTTGATTCAAGCAATGAGTTCTATCATGTGCACAGGTGCTTTTGACTCTGAGTGTGTGCTGGAATGTGTGTGCGTACATTGGCTCACAGGTGAATCTTGCATAGGAGAGTGTCAACAAAGACAGAGGAGAACAGGCGCAAAATTGGGCTTGTGAGTGAGTGGGGGGGGGGAGAATAAGAAAGTGGGAGAAAAAGGGCAAGGAATCCACTGTCGCCAGAGGGTAAAAAAAAAAGAACAAAGATGGTGAAAGCGGGAGTTTTTTTATACTGGTATGATATGGGTTTAACTTCCACACCAGTGCACTGTCTGGTCGTTTTTACGAGTAAAACATAGGATCTCTGGGATCTTCATGAACTCGGAAAGAAAGACATTACAAGCAAATATTTTTAGTTGGGTCATTAACAGGGTTGGGTTGATTTAAATCAGTTGATTTTTT